CAGCGGGTTGGGGCTGCGGGGGCCGCGAGTGGCCACTACACTCCAGTCTGGGTGACAGAGTGAGACTCCAACTCAAAAAAAAAAAAAAGAGAGAGAACACACTTAGGGAGGCCGAGGTGAGGGGAATCCCTTGAGCCTAGGAGGTCGAGACCAGTTTGAGCAACACAGGGAAACTTCATCTCTACAAAAAATCAAAAACTGAGCTGGCCGTGGTGGCATGCACCTGTCTTCCCACCTACTCAGGAGGCAGAGACAGGAAGACTGCCTGAGCCCAGGAGGCTAAGGCTGCAGTGAACTGACTATGGCACTGCACTCCAGCCTAGACAGCTGAGTGAGACTCCAACTCAAAAGGCCACAGGCTCAGCACCCCCAGGGCTGGCGTTTGATATCTAGGCCATTTACATTTATTGTCACAGGCTGTGGCTGGGTCCCTCAGGCCGCCACCTTCTTTCTGTGCCCTGACCGAAAGTCAGAGTGGCCGGGCCACGCTGCGGCCAGTGAGAATAGGTCTCCCCGGCAGGCCTGAACCCCAGCTGGCACCCTGAATACCTCCAGCCACTGATACAGGCACTGAGGTCGTTGCCCCAAACACTGCAAGACATCGGCCCACCCTGAGCCCAGTTCACATCCACTTCACATTCCTGGCTGAGCACACCCCGGGGGAGAGAGCCCCTCTTTGCCGTCCCCCTCGACGTGAAAGCTCTCTGGCAAGTGCTCGGATCGATGGTGCTCGCAATCGGTGTTTCCCCCTAGAATCCCGTCCAGCCCCTCTTCAGGACAGTTCGGGGCACTCCCTGTGGGAAATCCCTGCCACTGTTTTTGGGTGACTCCAGCCTTAGGTTCAGCAGGACGAAGCAGTAGCTTCGGTGACGGCAAGGGACAGGGGTTTTCCACATATGACAAAGTGTGCTTGCGAAGTACGGTGATAACAGAGGAGTGTACTTAAAGAAAAGTATCAGACGAACAGGCTTCCTTTTAACGTGGAAATGCAGGCCAGGCACATGGCTCTTGCCTGTAATCCCAGCATTCTTGGGAGGCTGAGACGGGAGGATCACTAGAGCCCTGGAGTTCAAGACCAGCCTGGGCAACAAAGTGAGACCTCTTCTCTACAAAAAAAAAGAAAAAAAAAGAGCCAGGCAAGGTGATGACACATGTCTGTAGTCCCAGCTACTCAGGAGGCTGAGGTGGGAGGGTTACTTGAGCCCAGGAGGTCAAGGTTACAGTGAACTATGATCGCATCAATGTATTCCAGCCTGGGTGACATAGCCAGACACTGCCTCAAAATAAACAAATAAAGGGAAACGTAAAATTAAGATATGTGAGCAGGCCGGGCTTGGTGGTTCAGCCTGTAATCCCAGCACTTTGGGAGGCCAAGGCAAGTGGAATGCCTGAGCCCACGGGTTTGAGACCAGCCCGGGCAACTTGGTGAGACCTCATCTCTCTAACAAATTTAAAAATTAGCCAGGCGTGGTAGTGTGGGCCTGCAGTTCTGGCTACTTGGAAGGCTGAGATGGAATGATCACCAGAGCCCATCAGGTCAACGCTGGGGTGACTGTGAGTGTGCCACTCCACTCCAGCCTGGGTGACAGAACGAAGCTCCATCTCAAAGTAAATAAATAGATACATGAAGATATGCAAGCAGCAAAAATTGTGCAGGGCTGGGGAGGAGCACAGGCGCCAGAAAGAGCACGAGCTCCAAGGACCCCGGAGACTGCTGAGGCCCAACTCGCCCTCAGGCCACCTGTGGGGCTTCCTCCTCCAGGCACGCAGGGCTGAGAGTCATGTGACGTGATTCCATTCATGTGAAATGTCCAGAGCAGGCCAAATCCGCAGGGACAGGAAGTGGACTCATGGCTGCCAGGGGCTGGGGGAGGGGCGGGGAGTGACTGCGAGGGGACCGGGGTTCGTTCTGGGGTGGTGGAACGTTCCGGAAGGAATCAGCGAGGATGGTTGCACAACTCTGTGAGTGTACTACCAAGAGCCCTCGAGCTGCGCCCTTCAACAATGAAGTTGTGAAATGTGAGTCTCAGCTCCCTTTTCAAAGGCATCCTGGGACGGCGGGGAAGGCTAGGAGCACGGGCAGCTGTGTCCCAGCGGGCAGGCCGTGCTCTGCCCAGCCCGTCCACGGGGACTCTGGGAGAGCCGACTTCCAAACAAGAAGTCCGGACGAGCCCTGGCCCAGCCCTCGAGGCCCGCTGACAAACAAGCAGTCACTCGAGCAGCCGGCCAAGCACATTCCTTGGACGAGACGCTGCTGGCACCAGCGACAGCGATGACCGACAGCCACGGGTCCCACTGCCCTGTCCCTCCTGTTGCTTCTCTTAGCTGTGCCTGCTGCCAACCTGTCACTCCCAACCCCAGCTACAGATGCAGCAGGTGACCCAGGCCCACACACTGTTTCCAGCCACCGTGTGCCACAGCCTCCGTGGCCAACCAGGGACACAAGGAGACAGGGACCCTTGCTTTCCCTCTGGGGGGTCCCAGAGCTGCCAGAACCGCAGCCTCTCCAGCCGCGTGGTGGGTGGGGTTGAGATCTGAGACCTGCACCTTCCTTGAGGGTTCTGCTCGGCTCCTGTGGGGTTCATTGCCAGAATCCGAAAGGCCCCAGCAACCAATGGGCCCCGGGTGCCTGCCGAGGATACAGGGGTTCCCAGGGGAGCAGGTCACATGGAGAACAGCGGTCTGGGCCTCAGCCTGGAGTCCACCGGGTGAGCCTGGGCACTGGGCTAGCACCGAGATGGGTCACAAAATCCCAGGGACCGTGGGGAGGCCTGCGGAACTCGGACGTTAGAGGTCAGCGCTGCCTCGTGCCTGGAGGGTTCCAGAGCCTGGACCAGCTGAAGGGTGTCACCCTGACAGGGACAGCACGGCTTCCGGACTGCTCTCAGAATGCTCTGGGGTCTCCGCCAGGTCTTGGGATGGATCCTCCGAAGCTTCCTATGTGTGGTGACGGCCCGACCAGCCCCGACACACGCCCCAGCCACAGGCATCCGAACAATCTCATCCATGTCAGGTCACTCCAATCCTTCTGGACATGAACAGAAAGCTCCTTTGCAGCAAGGGTGGGGGGAGGGACTGAGGACGGGCACACACAGGCAGAGGCCTGGGTTCTGGAAGGTTCCAGTGTCTCAGGTGCTGCCTTCTGAGGCCCAGTGGGCACCACCCTCGGGCTCCACGAGACACATCCATCTTTCCTGCAGGTGCAGTCAGTGGCTCCGGCGGGCTCGGAGGGTGGCCGTCCCTCTCGGCGCCTCTGTGGAGGCTGCACGGCAGCCCCATGGAGAGGTCCGCCTCTGGGGACCCTTGTGAGTGCTGCTTTCCATGGTGAGAGGGGGGACAGGGTGGCTGGGGTTACATGAGGCCTCCTGAGCTGGGGCACGAGCCAGGACCACCCGGCGGCTCGAACGTCATCACGCGTCCTCACAGGGGGACAAGGGAAACAGAAGTGGAGGAGGCGGCCCTGTGACCACAGAGACACAGAGCCACAGGCCAGGGAACGATGGGCAAGGGACGGCTCTCCCTAGGCCTCCGGAGGGAGTGTGGCTGCTGGCACTTTGGCTTCAGCCCAGGGAAACTGACTCCGGGCTTCTGGCCTCCACAACTGAGAGAGACCACATCTGTCGCTTTAGGCCACTAAGTCATAGTCACTTGTCACAGTAGCCACAGGAAACCCTGTCAGCACCTTGACCAGGACGGCAAGGCCAGCACGGGTACAGGCCCAAGACTGCCATGGCGTGTAGGGCTCAGGAGGCCACAGGACCACGGGAAGAGAGGCCAGGCCCGCCATGCCACATGGGAAACGAGACGCGAGGCATCCCCAGCCGGTTCCTCCTAGCCTGGAGTCAGCAAACATCTTCCGTGAAGGCACAGAGGGGAGACCTTTCGGCCTTGTGGGCCTGTGACCTCCGTCGCAGCAATGCTACCAAAGACGCCTGGATGGACAGGGCCAGGGAAACCCGACTTCTAAGGCAGCTGTCATCTGCCGGCCTGCTCTGGAATGTTCCCTCTCTAAACGCTGTGCCAAGCCATCGCCACATAAGTCTGTCCACGTAAGCCCATCTCTGAAGAGGGTGGCGTCGGCTATGGGAAGGGGACAGCCATCCGGTGCCCCAGTCTCTGCCATTATACACGGTCAGCCTCAGGCAGAGGTGGCATTCATTCATTCATTCAAATAGTGACTGAGGGCATATGCACACCAGGCACTGTCCCTGAGAGTGAGGACAAAGGAAGCCATCTGGATGGGCAGCCCGGCCTGGGGAGTAACCCTGGGACTACCCTACCCCGGGGCAGCGGTTCTCAGCTGGGGGTGATTCTGCCCAGGGGACACAGGATGACATCTGGGGACATGTGTGTTGGCACGACTGTGGTGCTTCTGGCACAGAGGGGCTGGAGGTCGGGAACTCTGCTCAGCCCCTGGGGTCCCAGAACGCCTATCTGGAGAACGACCCAGCTGAGCATCAAGCGCCAAGCGTGCCAAGCTTGGAAATCCAGCCGTGGCCACCAACCAGGCATCACACACTCTCAGAGGAGTGGGCCTGGCGACCCCTCCACGGCCCCCCCCGCCACAAGACCTCTGGGGCCACAGGGCAGTGTCCACTCGCACGATGCATGCTTGTTGCCCACCGGCCGGGCAGCAGGCCTGGCCTGGCCATGAGGCTGCGGGAGCACAAGAGGCCTAAACGCGCCCTGACGCTCTCGTGGTCTGGAGGGGACACGATCCGCGAGCCCTGCAGACGCTGCAAAGCAACGCTCGCCAGTACACGCCCAGAGGAGCAAGCACTCATCCAGGGATCAGAGAGGAGCGGGAGGCAAGTTGGCAAGTCGCTCCCTTACTTCCACCGCCCTGGCCCACGGCAGACACGGTTACGCAATCGAGGCAGCCCTCCTCCAGCCTCGGGATTCTGCACACACAGCTCCGCGGCGAGCTCCTACTGGACTTACCCATGACTCCCACTGGGATCGGAGGTCCAATTCTGTGTGTCATGTGCCCCGCCTGGCCTGGCCCAGGTGGCGGGGAAGTGACTCAGGCGGTGGGCCCCGCTGACTCGGCCTGGAAACAATCTCCGGGCTCAGAGCCACTCGACCAGCCTGAACCTTGGCGCCCCGGCCGCGCGGGAACAGGCCGCCCTCTGCTCGGCTCCCCTGGGGCCTCCCCTCCCCTCCAACCCACAGGGCCCATCCCCACAGCCAGGGGCCATCTGTGGGCAGCACGGCCTGGCCAGGTGCAGCACCGACTCCCAGGCCCCACAGACCCCAGGGACCTGCTCTGGCTTACCCAGGTAGTAGAGGCGGTGCGAGTGCGGCCCAGTCTCATCCGTCTTCTGCACGAACTGGAAGTCGTGGGGCGCCTTGTTGACGATGAGGCCCGAGTACTTGCGGCTGGCGTGGATGATGCTTCGCAGGCCCTCCCACGAGTGCTTCTGCACCTGGAAGTGGCCGCCTGCGTCCTCCACGGCGGCTGCGTCGCCCCGCTCAGTCGTCGGGGCCCCTGCGCTGGCCATCCTCTCAGCCCCCTCGGAATTCAGTGTGAAGCTGCGGAGGGTGGAGGCGGTGAGGGGGGAGGCTGGTCTCGCCTGCAAGCTGCCTGCCCCGCCACCCGCCGCAAGAGGCCACGGATTCTTCCAGCTGGGCCCCTCCCTACAGCCCCTCAGGCCTCTAAGGTCAGAGCCACTGTCACTTCTCAGCTACGCTGTTGAAAAAAAATTTTTTTGGGTTTTTTTTGAGTTGGAATCTCACTCTGTCACCCAGACTGGAGTGCAGTGGC